ATATATATATATATATGGTCATGAAGAACCTAGGGGCAAGATGGGAATAGACTCATATCTACTAGAGAATGGACTTGAGGACACCTGGAGGGTGAAGGGTAAGGTGGGACAAAGTGAGAGAGTGGCATGGACATATATACACTACCAGATGTAAAATAGATAGCAAGTGGGAAGCAGCCGCGTAGCACAGGGAGATCAGTTCAGTGCTTTGTGACCACCTAAAGGGGTGGGATAGGGAGGGTGGGAGGGAGGCAGACGCAAGAGGGAAGAGATATGAGGATATATGTATACGTATAGCTGATTCACTTTGTTATAAAGCAGAAACTAACACACCATTGTAAAGCAATTACACTCCAATAAAGATGTTTAAAAGAAAAAAAGAAAGAAAGAAAAAGAAAAGATAAATGGGCAGAAACAGAGTAAGTAAAATACGAAAAAATCTGAGTGCACTGCATATAGCAAAAGTAAATTGTTTTGTGAAACTTTTGTTTCAAATATATGTGTGTGTATGTATGTATGTAGATGAACATATATGAATTTTGGGTTGTAAAATAAAATGTATTTTACACTTGGCATCGCAGCCAAAAGTTTAAAAATTGTGAAAAGCACTGATTTGAACTATTTATTTTCTCTCTCAGAGCTTCAGATTTGTTATCTATAAGCTGGAAATAAACATAACAGCAAATAAAAGTAAAGCAAATAACTGTAACCATTAATTTCAAACTAAGCAGTATTATTCCTTTAACAAAGAAAAAAATGCTGTAGGCCATATAATTACTTTGAGGAGAAAGACTGTTTAGAACAAACCTGCCACATAATGAATCTTTAATAAGTACTTGTTGAATGAACAAATGAATGAATGAATGAATCTTCATGTCTTACCAGTTGGGTCTTGGACATCCTATTCGCCGTGATGTGTCCTTACAAATGAGGAGACAATTACAAGGGCATCTAACATACTTCTTCCCTGTTGGGGGGTTTTTGATTGGCTATATAAGAGAAGAAAATATAAACACAGCACATTAACCAAAGTACAAATTGCCAAAACTTGTTTGTATATAAAATGGAAATGATTCTTAAAATCTAAGGCTCCCCATAGTGCTACCAAAGTACACATTAAGGAAAAATGCATCATAAGTGATTTTTAAAATTTTATTGAAGTATAGTTGATTTACAATGCCATGTTAATTTCTGCTGTACAGCAAAATGTCTTGGTTATACATATTCTTTTTCATATTCTTTTCCATTATGGTTTATCACAGGATATTCAATATAGTTCCCTGTGCTATAAAATAGGACCTTGTTTTTTATCCATCCTATATATAATAGTTTGCATCTGCTAGTCCCAACCTCCCAATCCTTCCCTCCCCAATCCCTCTGCCCCTTGGCAGCCACAAGTCTGTTCTCTATGTCTGTGAGTCTGTTTCTGTTTCATAGATAGTATCATATTTTAGATTCCACATATAAGTGATATCATATGGTATTTGTCTTTCTCTTTCTGACTTACTTCACTTAGTATGATAATCTCTAGTTGCATCCATATTGCTACAAATGGCATTATTTCATTCTTTTCAATAGCTGAGTAATATTCCATTGTGTATATATATATATGACATCTTCTTTATCCTTTCATCTGTCAATGGACACTTAGGTTGTTTCCATGTCTTGGCTATTGTAAATAGTGCTGGTATGAACATAGAGGTGCATGTACCTTTTCAAACTAAAGTCTTATCTGGGTATATGCCCAAGAGTAGGATTGCTGGATCATATAGCAACTCTGTTTTTAGTTTTTTGGGGAACCTCCATACTGTTTTCCATAGTGGCTGCACCAATTTACATTCCCACCAACAGTGTAGGAGGGTTCCTTTTCCTCCACACTCTCTCTAGCATTTATTATTTGTAGACTTTTTAATGATGGCCATCCTGACCAGTGTGAGGTGGTATCTCATTGTAGTTTAGATTTGCATTTCTTTAATAATTAATGATGAATCATAGGTGATTTTAAATAGCTCAAATGTTGGTAAACACTCTATAAAATTTGGGGAACTGTAGAGATTTAATTAGAAGGGCATATTTCAAAATTAGTTTGTATTGGCCTGGAGTTGTTTCCCATTTAAAGTTCACAAGGCAAGGTCATTTATCTGCCTGGCCAGGGGCAAACATTCACTGAGGGTTCTTGCACATGTCTGAGAAAAGCAAGCTCAAAAAGAATAGTAAGGAAAGAGGAGTATATTACAAATTTGAATTTTTCTTAAACTTTACTCACTAGAATACAAGTGATTAATTTTATGGCAACTTTTAGCTAAAAAAACACTTATTATAGCTCCTAATGCTAGCATTTCCTTTTTTCTTTAACTTTACAGTAAATTTAAAAGTTAGAATAAATAACACCAAAGAAAACACTCCTCTCATTACTAGGACTTAAGCTTGTTAAAGCAAATAAGCTCTGATGCACTGAGAGGAATAGAACACCACTCCTGTGGCATGCTTGCCAAAATGTATAACCTGAATTTAATCACAAGATAACATCAGACAAACCCAAATGAGGAACATTCTACAAAATATCTTACCTGTACTCTTCAAAACTGTCAAGGCAATAGAAGACAAAGACTAAATTTCAGATTAAGGGAGATTAAAGAAACATGATAATCAAATGCAACATGTAATTCTAAATTGACTCCTGGACCAGATTTTTTTTTTAATGGAACAATTGGGCAAACGTGAATTAAGTCAAAAGATTAAATAACAGTATTGCATCAATGTTAATTTCCTGAATTTGATTACTGTGATTATATAAGTGAATGTCCTTTTTTTTTAGGAAAATTTACACTAAATTTTAGTAAATTTACACTAAAATGTTTAGGGGTAGAAGAGCACCATGTCCACAATTACCTTAAAAGGTTTTGAAAAAAATATTTATTTATTTAGAGAGAGAAAGCTACTTTGGCAAAGTGTCAATGTTTGTGGAATGTGGGTGAGGGGCCCACATGGGAATTCTCTATACTATGTACTACTATTTTTCTAACTTTCTGTAAGTCTACAACATATTTTTTTTTAAGATTTAAGAATTTTAAGTAAATAAACTTGGTAGAAATATATATAAGTTAGCAATAAGCCATCTGCAATTTATTAAACTATATTATAGATAGAATCTGACAATCTAAAATTCACAAACATCCAGAATGTGTTCCTATATAATCTAAAGTATCAAAAACCAGAATTTGTCTTAATTTCTCTGTATACATATTTTACCATTAAGTAAATGTGTGTTGGGCAAATGACAAGATTTATTTTTATACAGACATACCTCATTTTACTGTGCTGTGCTTTATTGTGCTTTGCAGATACTGTGCTATTTTACAAATTGAAGGTTTGTGGCAATCTTGCATCAAGGAAGTCTATCAGCATCATTTTTCAAATAGCATTTGCTCACCTTGTGTCTCTGTGTCACAATTTTGGTAATTCTCACAATTTTGGAATGTTTTTCATTATTATAATATTTGTTATATTGATCTGTGATCAGTGATCTTTGATGTTAGTACTGTGATTGTTTTGGAGTGCCACAAATTTTGCCCATATAAGACAGCAAACTTAATCGATGAATGTTGTATCTGTTACGACTGCTCCACCTAGTGACCCCTTCTCTCTCCCTCTCCTTGGGCCTCCCTATTCCCTGAGACACAACAATATTGAAATTAGGCCAGTTAATAACCCTACAATGGCCTCTAAGCATTGAAGTGAAAGGAAGATTCACACATCTCTCACTTTAAATCAAAAGGTAGAAATGATTAAACTTAGTGAGGAAGGCATGTCCAAAGCTGAGACAGGCCAAAAGCTAAGCCTCTTGCACAAAACAACCAAGTTGTAAATGCAAAGGAAAAGTTCCCAAAGGAAACTAAAAGCACTACTCCAGTGAACATACAAATGATAAGAAAGCAAAACGGTCTTATTGCAGATATGGAGTAAGTTTTAGTAGTCTGGATAGATGATCAAACCAAATACAACATTCCCTTAAGCCAAAGCCTAATCCAGAGCAAGACCCTAACTCTATTCAATTCTATGAAGGCTAAGAGGTGACAAAACTGTAGAATAAAAGTTCGAAGCTAGCAAAGGTTAGTTTATGAAGTTTAAAGAAAGGAGCCATCTCCAAAAACTAAAATTGCAAAGTGAACTGCCAATGGCCCAGCTCGCAAATTCCAGATATCAGGAGCAGCTCTGACCTGGAAACTCTAATCCAAACTAATCCAACTCATTAGGTGCAAGTCCTCTGCACAAGGTCCCTGAAGCTAGACTAAGGGTGAAAGAAGAGGTATAAATTCCATGAAGATAGAGACATTAGCTGTCAATCACATGGAGGTTAAAGGAAAGAAGCTGAATCTGAACCCCAGCAGTCTGACTCCAGGGCTTGTATGCTTAGCTGCATAACCAACAGTATGTGTTATGCAAAACTGCAGAATTTTTCAATTCCTGTCCAAGATGACAGAGTAGAAGGGCCTTCAGCTTACTTCTTCTCATGACTAACTGCTGAACAACCATCGATTAAGAAGAGTGGAACCCACTAAAAAAGATATTTTACATCCAAAGACATAAGAAGAACCACAATAAGACAGTAGAAGGGGTGCACTCCTGATATAATAAAATTCCATACCCCCCAGGTGTGTGGCCCACAAACTGGAGAACAATTATATCGCAGAAGTTCTCCCATAGGAGTGAGAGTTCTGAGCCCCACATCAGGCTCTGCAGCCTGGGGGTCTGGCATTGGAGGAGGAGCCCTCAGACCATTTGGCTTTGAAGGCCAGAAAGGCTTGATTGCAGAAGCTCCACAGGACTCCTGCAGAGACTTTGGAGACTCAGAAACAGAGACTCCACTCTTAGAGGGTGCACACAAGGTCCTGTGTGCACTGGTAGCCAGGGTAAAAGCAATGACTCCATAGGAGCCTGGGACAGACCCACCTGCTGGTCTTGAAGGGTATTCTGGGGAGGCGGGAGGGTGGCTGTGGCTCACTCTGGGGACAACAACACTGGTGACAGTGCTACCAAGGGACATTCATTGGTGTGAGCTCTCCTAGAGGCCAACATTTTGGCATCAAGACCTGGTCCCACACAACAGGCTGTAGGCTCCAGTGCTGGGATGTCTCAGGCCAAACAACCAACAGGGTGGGAACACAGCTTCATCCATCAGCAGACAGGCTGCCTAAAGGGTTCCTGAGCACACAGCTGCCTCTAGACACACCCCTTGATACAGCCCTGCCCATCAGAAAGCCAAGACCCAGCTCCACCCACCAGTGGGTAGGCACTGGCTCCACCCACCAGGAAGCCTGCATAAACCTCTAGACCAGCCTCACCCACAAGGAGGCAGACACCAGAAGCAAGAAACCACAGTCCAGCAGCCAGTGGAACTGAGTCTACAAACACAGGTCAGAATCTACCCTGGGACCAGCTGGTCCCTGGCCCTTGGTGATGAGAGGGGACTGTACTACTGGGACACACAGGAAATCCCCTACAGATGGCCACTTCTCCAAGGTTGAGAAACATAGTTAACCTTCTATATACATAAAAATACAAATAGAATTTTAGACAAAATGAGGAGACAGAGGAATATGTTCCAGATGAAGGAAAAAGATAAAACCCCAGAAGAACAACTAAGTGAAGTAGAGATAGGCAAACTACCCAAGAAAGAGTTCAGAGTAATGATAGTAAAGATGATCCAAGAACTCAGGAAAAGAATGGATGCTCAAGCAAGAACTTACAATAACTTTTTAACAAAGAGTTAGAAAATATAAAGAACAACCAAACAGAGTTGAAGAAAACAAAAATGAAAAACACACTAGAAAGAATCAATAGCAGAATAAATGAGGCAGAAGAACAGACAAGTGAGCTGGAAGACAGAATGTTGGAAATCACTGCTGTGGAACAGAATAAAGAAAAGAGAATGAAAAGAAACAAAGACAGTTTAAGAGATCTCTGGGACAACATCAAATGTACCAAC